TGCGAGTCAGCCCGCCTCTCACATAAACGCAACGACAATTATAAGAGGTAAAGCAGGACAGCCCTGCTAACCGGACTAGCTCACCTCATATAAACAGTCCCTTGGAACTCTAAATTTGTCGTTACTATCATGATCATGGACAGTGCAGACTAACAGAGGCTTCGTGTATCACGTCATGTGTAAAGTATCTCATATTAAAGTGGTCTGCTGGAATGCTACTCGAAGCTGTAATAGTTTTTGAACTGGAATGGAATCACCTAACTCTTCAGTGCATTTATCATAATCAACTTGTTTAATTTTTTTTCTACACTCACCGTTATCCAACTTAATACGTGAGCAACGGATAAAACCTTCCTCCCTCTTCACGGCCAAATCGTCATTCACTTCCTCGATCAGTTTTCGTTACTAATATGTAATTGTTGCATCACCCAGCCGCCGCCCCGATAGCCTGCGAGCAAGCTCTCCTATTTAGGCGAGCGAAGCGAGTCTCGCGAAAACGCGCGAGCAAGGGGCCGAGGAAACGAGTCCTCGGCCCCTCGCGGCTTCACCACTCGTTCGCGCGTAGTCGCGAGACTCGCTTCGCTCGCCCAAATGGGAGAGCTTGCTCGCAGGTTACCGCCCCTACTCACTCACTCACTCAGGGGTGATTATATGAAGTCTCACGTGAAGTACATACCATCAAAATTCGCGATCACCGTTGATGCCAGAAATAATCTTTGTCAGTGACTAAATATGTGCAAAAATGCCCCAGAAACCGTACTACGAATAAGAAAAATTCAAGTTTTGAGCTAAAATGGGCTAAATCTCAAACTAAGGCACAGAAAAACTCAAGAGATGATTTTATCCGGGAGATATGGTGACCCGTACGGGAGACCGGTAGGTTGGTGTCGTATGTGGGAGACTCACGGATAATCCGGGAGAGTTGGCATGTATGGATACAGAAAGGGGACGGATCAGAGATGAATCGGTAGATTCAATCACGCGAGGCTTTCGAGCTGAAGCAAGAGCTTAACTGCAATCAGTCAGCTGACGTTAAATTAGAAAAAGGAATCCATAGCAGCTTATCAGATATCGCGCTGTGAACATCTACGATAATTTTCATTTCTAACTTTAAAAAGAGGCAACCGATTTAGTTTCAGTTCACGTGCCATTTCTTTCTTGCGCCAATGTAAATCGCGCTATGCTACAACTGCATTGCGAGCCAGGATCCATAAGGATCAATTATGTAACCACTATTCGCTTACTAAGCACTTATTTAGAGTACATCTAGCGTCTAATTTCTTTCAATAAAACGTGTTGCACTCACTGTGTAGACTTAACATGCTCATAATTTCAGACAATAGTAGCTACGCAAAAACGTAACAGCAAAGACTGCAAACCTTATTGCGTGATCGCTTGGCTGAATGCATATGTTGTCATACAAGTGTGTATTTCTCTTTTTGAGATTGACGGAATCAAATAGGTCTTCTGTGTATGAAATTGCCTTCAATAACTAGTAAAATCTCCGCCCATGCTTACCTCGAACCGATTATGAAACGCGAGCAGTACTTCGCAGATGAAATCTACACAAACTTGTACATCGCAATAAACTTCCTAGACTGCAAAACAGTCGGTTTTTTCCTCAAAATCAGTAAAGAAATCGGTAACGCGTGGCGTAAGAGTCTTATGCGCGCGAATATAGCGTCTCTCCCCAGTCTCGCTCTCTGTTTTCAGCCTTTGACTGCTCGCGCGTACTTGAATACGCAAAAATACGGACTGTTTTGCAGTCTATAAACTTCCTTAAGTTGTCAATTGCCTGACAACAGCTGTACGTAATCAGGCTCAACAAAAAACAGCTATTGTCTTTTCAACATTCCTTGACCTTTACGCTTGAGAGGCTGTAAAAGATTGTTTTACACAGTTTTGGAATTACACGAGAACCTAGCGGGGTTCTGCTCCATCTTTGTAGTGTTTTTAAAACACAATTGAAACCCAATGCAACAAAGAGCCAAGAGACTGGAAAAAATCGGTGTTAAGTGAATGTTGGAAGGTTATAAAGATTTGAGGTGCTATTTTCCTTATACTGGGGTGGACAATTTCACTGTGATATACCGGAGTGTTCGTTACATAGGTATCATTTATTTATTTAGAGGAGAATTCACTACGTTACAAAACCTGTAATGTTTACTCTAAAATTTTTAGAGTTGAAAATCAAAGGGACCTCAGAAGCCCAGATCATATAGAGACCCACAAGGCCCAGCGATTAACTGCGTAAACGAAAACCCAGTATTCGTTAAATCAAAATCTGGTCTCAATAATGGATGAAAACCGAAAATATAGCTTCCAAAAAAATACGAGTTTGCCTTTCATTAAGCTTGAACACTGTGCCTTAAAGCCATGAAGTATAATTCTATCAATCTCGGACTTTCTCAAGTAATGATTTCATTCACTATGCTGTGTATGAAGCCGATTGCTAAAATAAAGCCAAAATCTATACACTTCTATGCATCGGTACACTGACGAGGATCGATCGGAGAACTTTCTATGATGGTCTACAGGAGGAGCCACTCAACTAAACAGGAACCGCCATTGGTTGATTCTTGGTCACTTGGCCTTGGTGGCCTTGACTAAAATCAAATGTATCCCCGAAGTATTACAACACGTGATCAAAGCATGGTGGAAAGTGGTTTTAAAGTTATCCTAAAAGAGAAACAGCAGCTAGTGGAGGAAAAAGATGTAGATAATATAAGGAAAGTACTTTGTAAATCATTCATATTGTTTTAAGAATTAGATTTGTGTTGTTATAAGTACCTAGTCCACTGTTTTGGTTCGCTCCGGTTATTCTTTTGTTGCTGTTGAAATGAAAGTCTGGAAATATACTGAACAAAACATTTAATGTCAGGTTCCTCGGGAAACCAGTCTCGAGTCCTGATGTTTCCCTTGACAAATTAACTGTTTCCCTCGGGACCTGACATTAAGTGTATATTATTATTCATTCAAAAGATTTCCCCGTTTCTGACTAGCTAAAACCAAACGCATAATTCACCATAACCAGCTACCGTTGACCAAATTTTGGCAGGAATTTTGCCATATTGAACCGATGACTTCAAAAGTGTAGTCTGCTACACAGGCGTTTTTAGTGTCGTCACGCAATGCTCCTCCCCACAGTGGGGAGGAGCGTTGCGTGACGACACTAAAAACGGCTGTGTAGCAGACTATCAAAAGTGCGTCCTGGTTGCAGGTTATTGAACCGTTAACGGACAAAAACCTGGGGACGAGGTTCAGTTTTTTTGATAGTGAGAAAATTGAAGTGAGAACGAAAATGGCTGAGCAGTCGGCGGAAGATTTTACTCGATTCACGGCGAAATATTGTCTATAAACTGGCAACAACAGAATGAAGACGGAGGACATCTGCTATTTGCAGTATATTTGCAGACCTGAACCGTCCTTTTTCTCCTAAACTTCGCAATAAAGATGCATTATCGATATGAACTTACATCAACTAAGGTCAGAATGTTTTAGCTTGTTTTTAAACGTCATGGGAATTATTTCGAAGGAATAATTTAGCAATTATTGAATTCGGCTTTCGTGTGATATGAAGAATTCCGCGTGCTGATCAAGGAGGGTGTTGTCGACGAGGTGGATAACACCCTCCGAGATCCGCAGAATTCTTCCGATATCCTACGAAAGCAGAATTCAATAATTACTAAATATATGGAAGGAACAAGTCTCATGAACGCTTCAACATTTCAGTTTTGTAAAACGTTACATAAGAATTTATTCTCTAAACCTACATCATGATTGTAGGCGTTTGTTGGCTGCGCGAAATAGTTACTGCTCGCGTAACCGCAAAGCTCAATTCTAAACCCCTCATGCCATCTGCCTCCTTCCATCGCTCTAAACCAGTACCTAGCCTATTGTAAGTGATAAAATCAAAGTTGGCGGCCAAGGCAGCATTACGAATATAAACAAGCAGCTTTCACTCGGCCCAAATATTGCAGTGCGTAAGGAGCTGCGCGGTGGATTGGAGAAGGGATTGTCCGAGGGCGGTCTTTGTGCTCGTGTAAAATGGATCTAATGGCATGTTATAAGAATGCTACTATTAACAGATTTTGACTAGCTAAGAACAAATTGATATTATGGCCAAAAAAGAGGCTAGACTTATTCATAGTTTCGAAGGCAAGTTCGTATCGAGATAAAGTAGCGCCTGTTCGCAGGCCAAAGGAAAATAGTTTCGTAAAGTCGCCCGTTGCGTTTACACGGCCTCTTGCGCTTTTAAGCCCATTTTACAAAAATTAATTTGAGTGGCGATATTATAGCCGCAATTTTATGCCATTTTCTAATCTTTACGCGGCAATTTCATAGAGTAAATGTAATGAAAACGCTAATCAATGAAATCACCTCTATGTCCTTGGTGATTCAATTTCACGCAAAAACTACCCAAGAAATTCCCAGAAGCTAATTAATTTACCGGGGCAAAAACTGTCTGAACAGTAATCGGCTCCTGACAATTGAATTGAATTCCCCCCGACTCGAACTAAAATTTCAATCTTTCCCTTGATCAAAAAGTCACTGAAATTTACCCCGATAACTCGAATTCTTGTTCTTAACTCCATAGGGATACCATCCCATTAGCTCCTCCTAGGGGCCCGATTCGATTTGTCAAAATTATTGGAAAAAATATCGGACTGCCGGTCATTTAGTGTTTTGAAAATCTTGACCGGTTACCGGCCATAAATCCGCAACCTTTATTGTTCTAGGAGGGAATCACACAAGCAGCATTAGAGCTACGAGCCCCAAATTTTTGTATCATATTTGAGCATAAATGCCATCCGAAATTGTTTAAATTGGTGTTTGATTCGTGACTTGGTTGGCCAAAATGCAAGTTAATGTTTTGTTTTTATTGTCGTTTCTCAAACCTATCTTGTAGCGCAGATCACAGTCCAACAAAGTTCCTTAAACTTGGTAGACGATATAAACAGTCTTAAACTCAAGAATTTTAAGTTTCGTTAGAAAATTTCCTCTTATCGCCAAATCAAAGTTTCAAAATAAATTTCAGTCATTCAGTTGAAAGCGAGAATGATTGAACTTAATATACATATCAAAAATCGAGAATTATCTGGCCACTTCGATCTGACGCGGCGCGAGCACGTCATTAGAAAAATACTAAAACTAGCTCATAATTAAGTTAGTCAACTTAAACGCGATTCTAAAAAGGAAGATAATTTCTAAATTTAGGTCATCACTGACAAAGATTCTTAGCCTCATATCCCCTTCTACTTAAAACTTCACACTTAATTTAATTCCATTTCTTCACGATTCCTTCCCTACGGCAGCCTTTCTACCCTTTAGGTATACTAGTTCTAGGTATATAATAAAGCGTCTGAATTTCAAGCTACTGTGATTACAGTAAGTTGTACACAAGCAGAAAAATGAATACTCAGTCATATGCAAACGTTTTTTAATCAAAATCTGGTACACTCAGCACTCCATATAGCTCGATACCAGCGAGGGACATTTGAGGTGCACCTGCGGGCATTGAATCTCTTATTTGAACAATTTGGAACTGACGACGGGCTTTTAGTTCTCCTTCCACAGACCATGTCTTTGTTTTGCATGGCACCGGTTTAATTTTATCGCCTGATTTCCCATAGTATGACCATTCCCGTAACTTGCAGTTGACTTTATAATGTCTGTTTAGTAAACTCCACTCATCGCCATCATTAAGCCTTCCTTGGATCTTAAAGTTTTGTAAGAAATTCTTTGAATTACTTCCACGTTGCCTCAAAGTATAGTCAGTAAGCCGAAGCGAGTAGTAGTTTCCCAAATCCAGACACCAACCCGATCGTGTGTAACTGTTGACTGGGTTGAAATATTCCAGGATATTTTCAGGGTCTTCACGACCTTCCCCGTCGCAGTAGGTTACTTTCACTCCGGATGATAGTACTCGAGCAGGATTCCTCCACATGCTGACGCCGGCATTTAAACCAAGGTAGTGAATGACACCCTTAGTATCAAAGTCTCTCACGTGCATGAAATGGTCTGAAATGGAAAAGCAGAGTTACTGAAATTCTCACCTGGCTGTACACTTTCTGCAACACCATTTCTTTTGAACGAATACTTTATTGTTCTTCAAAACTCCTTGACGTTATTGATTAGTGTAGACTCTGCCTACATATCGTGGTCGCGATCGTATAAGGCAGAGCACACTTCTTGAACAACTGTGTTATGATCTGTTTGGTAACCAAGTGGCCAAACACTGCTTGAATAAAATTGAAAGGACATCTTTTCGAGGCATTTGATTTTTTTGCCCGGTCTTGCGAAAGCTGTCACATATATTTTTTGCGAAATTTACCCACACAAAGTAACTAGATGGAGATTAAAACTGTTCCCGGTTTTTATGGGCGGCAACTTTACAGGCTGTCCCAAAAGTTCGTTCCCTAATTATATGCGCTAAATAGACTTTGGGCATTCATCCAAAAAAAGATAATCATCCCAGCCCCTTTCCACAGTAAGACTTTTGTACCTCTTTACGGATTCGAGACGAGCTGATCGTTGCTTGGCGGACTAAGAAACGCTTTTTTTGCCATCTCAGGGGGGCATCTAACCTTCGCTTTTCACGGAACCTGCTCCAGACTTAGCTTGCTAACTGTTGTGAGAGGAGTACCATGTCAAGTTTCGTCTTTTGTACCTAGTTTTCTTTAAAACTATTTTAGCTGCTTTATTCAGGACTTTCGGTCTTCCCCTTCGTTTCCTGTCTTCAAAACCTTCTTTTCTCGATGACCATTTTCTCGCCCAACATTTGGATTTTTCCAGTTTTTCAGCAGTTTCTTCAACTGAAAAGCCAGTAAATCCCAGTATGCATGCTTATGCTCTCACGTGGCTGAACGTTTTTGCGTTAAAAGGGTTTATCTTTCGTAATAATATTCACAAAAAAAAAACAAGGAAGGAGTTCGCGCAATACGGGCTACAAAGACAAAAAATCTTTGGTGGGAAATAAACTCGCGCGCGCGCACCTGTGGCGCGGATGTACACAAATCGAATATTAGAGTCAAAAGATGGTACAACAAGTATAAAATATTGAAATACATTTGAAAGACACAACTTTTGTTTACACGATTTGCTTACCAAGTCCAATCGTACTGCATTACAGATTTAGAGAGTAGAGGAACGAAGTTTTGGGACACCCTCTAAAAGAACAGCCGCTTATTTGTACTTACATTCTTTAGTTTTTGTGAATTCGTTTCTTAGACGTGTCGAAGGTCTACTTCTTTGGTCCTGTCCCATTCTTTACGACTGCCCTCTCGTTGAATTATCAAAAAACGGCGTTTCTAAAGCGCCGTTCTCCAAACTGGTTAGTGGCTCTACGTGTAACAAATATACAATGTTAACGTTATTCTTGACTTTCTATTCTGTCTTCAGTAGCCCACGATTTTTTCACCCTTTCCCCAAATAGAGAGCCTGTTTTCGTATTCCATCTTAAACAAAGTGTATCAAAGAATAAAAACTATAATGAGACCCCTGGCCCTTAGTCTAATTACGCATCCCTCTAGCTTCACACTGTGAAACAATGATTGAGTAAAATAAAAAAATCCGAACACTTCGTTTGACCGCGTAGTTTGTGCACTTGTGATCAAACAATGTAAGATTTCCGCCGGAAGTTTTACAAAGATAACTTAATACAAAGTCATGGTGATTTTTTACCTCTTATGTTGTCGCCTTCGTTGACACTTAATGCAGCAGCGCCGCTCCTTTCATCATAGCCTGATCTTTCCAAATTGCTGTCCTGTAAAGTTCTCGGCCAGAACTGCAACTGTTCTTCTAAACTCTTGCACTTGGTCTTAAGCTCCTCCTTCACCGTTTCCAATACCAGCAACCGTTCAGTTTTGACTGTTACAAGCTCTTTTTCTAATTTGTAGATTCTACTATTCTCTGCAAAAAAAAAAACGCAAATATATAGCATTAGTTTTCCTCTATGGTCAAGTTTTATACTCTGATCACCCCCGGCTGAAAAAAAAGTTGTCGTCATTAACCTTCTTTCAAAAGAATGCAAGCCAGATAAGGTTGTTCCTTTTCCAATCCATTCACAAACTCTGAGAAAGCATTCGGGTCTTCTACTTTTCTGAGCTTAATGAGCAAAGCCTTATTCTTATTCCGACGTGTTTGCATTGAAAGTATCTCCTCCAAGGCGTATTCATCAATAATTTTCGCTTGATACAAATAATTTGTCACAGGTTCTGGGTCTGTATCTGCCCGCAGTTTCATATGAAACTGTTGAAGAATGTCATTTTGGCGCTGTATTCTCTGCATGGCTAATAACCTTTCCATGATTTCCTTCTAAGAGCTGAAAAGCACAAAGAAATACCGATCGTTACAATTAAAAATAAAATTAAACTTGTCATGATTTCAGGTGAAACTCGGTACACTGTTTTAGGAATTCAAGGAGGACAAAATCGTAATCATAAAAAAGAGGTCCCTCTTACACGTATGCGGCTGTGTTGACGAATGTAGCAAAGCTATTTAGGCCTACTTTAGTAATCAATCAAGGTTAGCAGTATATCATTTAATAAAACTAAATGGTTTTCCGGTGTGCCGTTTACGTAACAATTTTTTAAAAAAAGAAAATAATAAGATCCTTGGAAGACACGTAAACCACAAACATCATCCTAGATAGGCACTAAAGCTTTATAAAATAACTATTTTGGAACGATTAAAACTGAAACAGCCACGTCCCGCCCCAAACTTGACATGTACAATTTTATTTTAAAATGAGGCCAAGCTTTTATTAATACAGCTTCTTATATTACGGAGAATTCATCAATTACATTTCAGTTCCTCATAATCCAATGCTACGTCTGATTCGATCTGGTCTGCATGTAAAGACGTTCGAATAGGTTGCTGTTCTGATAACGATACAGACACTGATAAACTATACCCAATTATAATAAACATTGTTTCGAAAGGAAATAGAATTCGGCAATGCGGAAGCACCTCACTTGTACAGCGTCATACAGGAAAGATTAGAAGACCAGTAAGACAGCCATGTCACGAAAAATGAACATGCAGGGCAAAAATTGTAGACACTCTTCTTCTTTTCAACTAAAAACTTAGGATCTGCAAACGCATCAAAATGTTCGTTTCAAAACCACACCGAAGTTTTGCTACACAGCAAAAAAGGGGGGAATGATGATTCGAAAGAATCAAAGCGGAAGCTTCAAATGTGCAAAGGAACAAAGCAACTGACGTTAAGTTAACAAAAGCCGAGTACATACTAAATTTCGGCTTTAGCCATTGATCTGTGTTTCAGTGATTTTTCTTAAGGTTCAATCTACAAAAAGAAGCAATTTTCGTCAGTTTCCACCTTTCCCGTTTAGGTTTTACGTATCAGCCTTTGAATTTCTTGCACCAAACTAAAACTCACTGAATGCACCTCGAGCTTAGATCACAAGATCAAGACGGATCAATTAGTTCTTCATTTGCAAGCCGTTCGCTTACTAAGGCACCTAGAACGGCAAGAATTCCAACACTGTACAATATTTTAGCTCTGCTCACTTTAAAAAACAGACTCTAGTGATAGACGATGGTAGCTATCCGGCAGCTAACAACACAAAGATATTCGTATTGTGTACATATAATTAGACTGTCTACGTTATTGCGTTTTAACGCTTGACTGAGTGTATATTACTATATTTGCGGAAATGCAAGTTTGTATCAGTTCCTTTTCAAGACTGATAAAGATCGTGTAATTAGCTTCTGAATGGAGTTGTCAAAACCTAGTTCATGCTTACCGTAAATCTCGGACTGGGGTAAGTTATGCGGCAACACCCTCAATTTTGTTCCATCAAATGTGCTTCTTTATTGCTACGTGCGGTAGCTGAAGCCAAACAAAACCAGTTGGACCTAAGCCATGGACTTTCCAACATTCCTAACCTTTGACACTTTTTAAGCTATATTTCAGATATTTCAGTACCATATATGGAGGTTTGACGCAAACCAGAGTCAAACACTAAATAAGAATCCCCGAGATCTTTGCAAGACGGACTGAATGGGGTTTACCCCCTTTTAGCTTTTTTTTGCCCATTTCTAAAGCGTTTAATAATACAAAAATGTTAGTGTTTTACTCTTTAGCCGCAAGCTTCAAGTTTTAATCTAATACCTTGGAAAAAGTACACACAACCATATCACCTATAAAACCAAGGCGGAGCAGCCATGAACCCCGGCGAGCATGAACGGCTGTTTTGTCCTTCCGGCTTGCTGTTTTGAGGGTCTGAATGGAGGTACCTCGATAACACTAAACACTTCATTTTTTGGCTTTGTAACATGGAACAGTTAAATTTTAGGCATTTTAACACTAACAGTAAAATATTCTTTGAAACAGGAATTTTTTTCCACAAAGAAGCAAAAGTGGCTCCAAAAGGGCCAACATTATTTTGTTTAGTATATCAAGGAGTTTTCGGCCATTTTACGACAATTCCGGATTATTTCAGAAGATCTCCGAAGACTACCAACGATTCCCGAAGACTGTCGAAGATTTCCGAGGACTAAGACAGAGGACCCGCGACCATTGCCAAAGATGTCCGAAGAACCCTCCAAACAGTTAACAATACGTATTTTCTTCGAAAACAGTAAAAATAAGAAAATTGGCCTAAACATTATGGGCAAATGACACTAAGCATTAAACTCTATTGAGACCATCTATTTAGGAAGTGTGAAAAGTCTGACAAAGTTAGGATAATGTCACACTTTTTCCCTAGTCACTAACCCTTTGTCATTCTTTACTTAGTTCTACAATTCTCAGAGGTGCCGAAGTGTGGAATAGTCTGACAAAGTCAGGATAATTTCACACTTTTTCCCTAGTCATGAACCCTTTGTCATCCTTTACTTAGTTCTACACTTCTCAGAGGTGAGGAAGTGTGAAAAGTCTGACAAAGTGTGAGGCTCGCGCGCTTTACGCGCGTACGACTCTTACGCCACGCTTTACCGACTTCTTTACTAATTTTGAGAAAAAAAAACCGACTGTTTTGAAGTCTAGCCTCTGCCAGGCTTCAAAAGGAGAATAAAAGAGTCTCATGTACTGATTAAAGATGTTTGAGCTACTAGAGCTACTTCAACCACACACTTGTCATCCTCAGGCCAACTCCCCTGTGTAGAGTGCATAGGTGTTTATGATGCACTAACTTCTTGGCCTTACAGGTGTCTTTCACTACGAATACAGCCTTCTTTCCTCGCTCCTTACCATACTCAGGATGATTGTATCTAAGCAATTGATAAAGTCGTTAAATTCACTCCGAGTCTTGGTTCAAAGACCTAAGTCGCATTCGATTGCGCTCGCATGTACCGAGTAACTTGTCTGTCAAAATCTCAACTACTTGAACACTCGGGCCCTGTCTCCGACACTCTCCCCCCATATGGCAACGAAGGAGACATATGTTGTCCATTCTTCAGGAGACTGGGAAATAACAAATTAACATAGTTGCATTTATGAAAGGTTTTAGAAAGCTACTAAGCAGTCCTATACAAAATACTATTGCAAAGTTTTTACTGTCCACTTAAAGTTCTTAATGTTCAAAGTTACCCTGAATTCTCCTCTGCGCCAGCAATTTGACGGATTTTCTCTTCGGCTCTGATGCAACTCTTACGTTCACTAGAACATTAGTCGCCATATGTACTGAAATCAACTCAAGACGGGAAATAGTTAAACCCTCTTTAGAAAGCCTGGCTTTGGCTCCTGCAAGCCGCCGGTTAGTCCCTTCCTGATTCTTGCTTCACCACTGCATTCGCAAACGCTCCTATACTAGCACCACTTGCATCCCCAAATCCATGTGACTTAATTTCCTGAATGGGTTCTCTTCGGTCTGCAAGAGCACGACTTACACCTATCTGCTTGGGAAGCCCTTGCTCCCATCTAAGTTTCAGCCTGCCTGTTAACTCTGCATCCCATGCCAATTTCACCCGACTCGCCTACAATACAGACACTTTCCTACCAAAGTCACTGGACGGGTGAAGCAAGCCCCAAAGGGTCATAAATACTTGCAAGCTTACGAAGAATTCCTTATTATTACACAACTTATGTCTGTGTGGGGCAAATAGATTGTACTGAGAAAAGAAATTATAGGTTCTGCCACAATGATATAGACGACAGACAAATTCAGTTACTTTTTTTAACATGAACGGATTCGATTAAAATGGTCCTGAATTCAGAAAATGTCGTCACTGCAGATTTATTTGAACAATCTTATGGGGATGATTATAAAATGTCTAAATAAAACTCTCCAGAGTTAAGGAGAACAATTTTTACGAACTGGAGAGCTATCTGCGGGGGCAGGTTTCGGTTGCTGGTCTTGCACCTTTGAAGCAACAAAATCCCTGATGGTACTATTGACAAGGTGAAAGCAGATTCCTCTGAATCGGTCACATTCATCAGAAAAATACGACCAGCAAGACGATAAGCGATACGCACGATCAAGCATGGTTTTCAAAAGATCACAAATAAAATAAAATATTTATTGTAGCTTACACTATTATGACTAACTTATTATGGTTCCCCAAGAGGGTCCGAATTCAAAATCTTTAAAATATCATTCTAACTTTGGAAATCAGGTTTAATCTTTCATCTTCGTTTAAGCAAGATCTAGTCCCCCGACGACAACGAAAACAGCCAAAAACAATCAGTAGATCTAGTTAGCAAAATAACAACTTTGCACATGCAGCACACTTTTTTTGTACATTTCTTCGCCGTTGTTTTGCACGACTACAACGAGAAACTTCCAGAAACTTCCTGGTTACACGTTTTATACGCTCCTGTTCACTTTTTTTGTGGCTGCCGCTGATTTTCACCTTGGTGGCCGCTCGCCTCTCCTTTTTCTCACCGCTGATAAAATTTTCATGGTTTTCTTCCAACGAAATTGGTCTCCTTTGTTTTTTATCTCTCGCTCTAGCTCTTTCTCTGTTATCCATGTCAATGTAGACATTAAGATTAAGTGGGAAGAAAGAATCGGATTTGCTGTTGTTGTTTTTATCTCTAAACGTCTGGGAAGCTATGCGATTTAACGCCAAAACGCGCGTGTGCTTGAAATGCAAAATTTCATCCCGGCCTACATGAAGGGGCGGACGTACGGACGGACGTACTCCGTACGTTCGGACGACTTTCTCAGAACCAAAATTTCTTGGATACATAGATTACCAAATTTTCTTATCGATGTTCCTTCGCGCGCTCGAGAGCTCCGCTATAAAAAAAAGACAGACTTTCAGGCGGGGCTTCAGACTTCCCATTTTCGGCTTCTCGTAAATAGCTGTGAAAAAGTATCTATTTTGTACCAGCTACTCACTTTTTTTCTATTATTTTTCTTATTCTTGTTCAGTAAAATTAGGCTGTCTTCTTTCTACAAGGCTAATACTTTTAAAGGATAAATCTTTACTGAATTGTGTCAAGTTTGATGAATTAACTAGATAAGGAAAATGGATCAAAAGTTCCCCAAGATGTGGGTTCAAGGCAAGCAAGACTTAAGCTGAAAGGACATTTCCCTGATTAATTTCGCGTGCGATTCTTTAAAGGAAAAAAGTCTAGTTTTTTTACTCCAGGAAGCAGTCAAACCTCATCAAGCGAGGTCAACGCGTATTTAGCGGTCCCCGTCAATCAAGCGTTCACTTACCAACTTTCTATTGACAATTTATTTTAGTTGATTTCATCAGACAATCAACCTGTATTAACACACGTTTTACCGTATATGTACTGGAAGCAAAGTTTATATGTGCATCTCATTAATTACTTTCTGTAGAGCCTTATACTAAGTTTCAAACAAAGCTTTGACTTGCCAATCGATTGGTTTTGTTTTATCACTCTCTTTCACCTCTGTACTATTGAGTTTAAATTTGTTTAAAAAAGGAAAAAATATTTAAATAATACGGTCTACAATGATCTTTAAGTCAATCAAGACTAGTGGCATCCCGGGGGTACTCATTGCAATTCTTGGTGGTCGTGCGGTGTGCCGCCCGGTTCCCCAAGTCCTGACCCTATTTCAGACCAAAAAATGTCACTTTCCGCACCGTTTCAAAGCCTGGCCTGTAAGAAATTATGTCACCATAACTGAGAAGAAGACTAACCCTAAAAAGGTTCCTCAAAACCCATTTTGAATTTGCATACGTTCATATACTCCCGTAGTTCTCTCGAAAACCATACCCGAATCCAGACCAAATCGGGCAAAAGTTTATACCCGTTTTCAGACCAAAACGGTGCAAAAACCATACCCTTTGGGGCGGCACATACTTCCTCCCGGGGTAGCATGATCCATGTACGTTTATAGGCAACCACGAGTGCTTCAGAGTACAGGAAAAATAGAAATATTTTCGTATGTTAGTTTACAAATCTCTTGTAATTGGAATAAACACGTTCTTCAGATGTCTATAATTGTAGCCAACTGTGAATGCTGTCGAAGTGGTTTTCAAGGCTTAATCTGTTTACGGTTTTAATAAATATAAAGCCCCGTGGAATAAACACTGACAACTTTCGGTCTTTTTTCACTGTACGTGTTTGGCGATAATAAGAGCCAGAGAATTTAATTTAATTTGTTAACCAGTGAATTTCTTGTCGTAATTAAATTAGTGGCCTCTTGGTTTCGAAGGGTGGGCTTTTTTCCTTATGTATGCGTTAAAATTTATTTACAGAAATGACTTTCAGTTTCATTAAGCAATAGACCACACTTTCTATGGGTTTACCGGCTGGATAACCCACGCGGGATGTTGGGAGAACACCAGAAAAGCTTGTAAATCACGAGCCGAAGGCGTGTGATTTACAAGCTTTTCGAGTGTTCTCCCAGCATCCCAAGTGGGTTATCACGCCGGTAAACCCATAGAAAGTGTGGTCTATTGCTTTTATAAAATAACTTTTAGTAGAATGAAGTTTTTTAGGTAAAAAATATGGTTTTAGTACCGTGATCAAGTCATGTCTTCTCTCTAAAGTCATCATAAGCCAATCATGACTCACGATTTAATAGCGCTGAACTTTCTCAAAACTCAGTTCAGTCAAACAACAAACGGCAGCACTTCAAAACACGAGTTTTTGCACTCATTACATGATAACTTGTGAAAGCTGTTTTACAGGAAAAGTCAACATTTATTCATGCGAACGTACAATGAAAGAATACGTTCATGGTTTGTTTACTACAGAAAAAGAAATTAACTGAACGTCAGACTGTACGCAGCTGTATTTTGTTGAGTCGATCCGTAAGAATTTCGTGCTTACAGACGGAACTGGCAGCTATTGTAATGGAGGACTTCATTTACATTTTAAAAGCCGCAGTGGTTTAAGATCTGTTTTCTGGACTTTATCATGATTAAGAAATGCTGCGGTAACGACGTGGCTGCATTTGCGAAGTTGTCGCATGTAGCTTTACCGTAAATCCTCTATTAAGCCCCCCTCTCTAATAAGCCCCCCCCCCCTTTCACAGGAGGAAAGTTAATAAGCCCCCCCTCTCTATTAAGCCCCCACCCCCTCCCCCTCCTCCAATCCTTATTCTTCACAAAAAAATTAACGATTAACGTGGACTGATCAGTTATGGTTTATTCATAAAAATTACCGAAGAACATGAGGTCGAAAGCACATTTTTGAAGAATAAGAATTTTGTTTTTGTTACTTTTAGGCTCCCACAAGTGAATTAAATACTTTTGACGGTGACTTTAATTGTACAATGCGTAAGTCTACTCTGTCTCATACCAAGGTATTTTTGCTACAGTTGATGCGATTCGCTAAATTAAATAAGCCCCCCCCCCCTCTCTATTAAGCCCCCCCTCAAAAGTGCTTGAAAAAATAGAGGCTTAATAGAGGATTTACGGTATATGCACGTACTGCGACCGATGGAAATATGTCAGTGGTGGAGAAACATTTCTTTGCCGTAGCCACATATTGGCGTTAATATTTGTCGATTTGTAAAGTCAGGTGGTTTTAGGTAGGTTGTGGCATCGATATCACCGAATACTTTGTGCAAATGTTGGAGAAAACCAGCCCGAAACTCTGACATCTTTCATCATCGTTGGCAGCTTGTTAACAAACTACAGCGGCCGATTTTGTACCATATCTTGATCAGAGATCTCTTTTTTGAACAATTTCTTTCATTAAGGAATTTAATTTTGACATAAAATAAATCAAGAATGCTAAAACTATCCGTTTTGTTGCTGGTTGGCACATGGTTAAGTTTTCCTTGAGACTTTCTACACCAGAAATTCACACAGTTGTTGTCTTTCTCTGAGATTTGGCATCGTCGTGAAATGTAAACTGCTTTCCAGCATTGTACTTTATTACCTCTAAAGATAAGGCAGTAATAAAATGTGGAAACCAACGCTTTTGATATTAAGAAGGGCTGGGTAAGTAACTTGTTCTGTTTTTTAGCCTTTCTAAAATCATTGTTTGCAGATCAATAGCCGGTTTTGTTTATGGCTCGTGGTCCGTATGCCTTTTTCTATGGGTTTACCGGTATAATAAACCATAGGTTTTTGACCAATCAGATCACGCGTACTATCTCATGCAGTTATTTTATAAACAGATATAATAGTGTCTATTCTGATAAATTAGCGTCCATATAAAGAGAGACAGGTGATATTCTGCTGTCGATAATCAATACGGTAAACCTTATAATTTCTCAGCACTCTAATCTTTGATACCGCTGTCGAGAAACGTTTTCATGCTCTGTATACTCTACAAAAACATATCACAGCAGAATGGCGAAACTCATATAAATCATAGTTCTTTCCCAGGGTGTTCTCCTACTCCGAGAGAACCCTCAAGTCAAAAAACTCTTTCTAGTCCAAATATGGCACACTGAGTACTCCATATAACTCGATACCAGCCAGGGACATAGCATGCGTGCCTGGTACACTGGTCGACATGTCTTTTATCTTGACTATCTTGAACTGGCGGTAAGCTCTTACTTCCCCTTTCACAGACCACGTTTTTGTTTTATATGACAAGTCTTTGTTTCCTGACAGCATATGTGAAAAACGCTGCGACCTCCAGTCAACTTGATGATGCCTGCCCAGCACACGCACACCAATCATCGTCATTACAAAGCCTACCAAGGAGCTCAAAGTTTTGAAGAAAGTTTCTGTCATTGCTTCCGATCTGCCTCACAGTGTAGTCGGTAAGCCGCAGCGTGTAGTAATCTCCCAAATCCAGACACCATCCCGATCGAGTGGAACTGTTGCCGGGAGTGAAATATTCCAAGATATTTTCAGGGTCTCCACGACCATTACCATCGCAGTAGCTAGGTTACTTTCACTCCGGATGACGGTACTCGCGCAGGATTCAGCCACATACTGTTCTGGCATTGAAACCGAGGTAGTGAATAACACCTTTAGTATCAAAGTCTCCCTCATACCTGAAATGAACTGAAATTAAAAAACAACAGAAAAATTTTAAAAGATAATTAAAAAGATAATATGGACTAGTACAATGTTGTGCAGTCTTAGCTCGGAAGAAAAAAAAAATAATAAAATTGAAGATGGAAGTAAAAGTAGACACCACGTAGCCAATGGCAACGGTCAGTGTCCGCGTGGAAGCTGGACAACGAGGTTGTCGGCGAAACAAACCCGGGATAAAAATCTAAGGAACCTGATTATGGCATGGAGTTTTTCGTTAGTTAATGAATTTGATTTTATTCATATCATTGTACTTTTTGAGAATTAAAGACGGAAAAGGATAAAAAAACTCAGTCAGGTCAAAGTTTCAAATCCTGTTACACTGTAAAAATGTGGACAGTGGCAACAGTTTAACTCTTCTTACTTTCTTTAGTTCGTGATAATTCGTTACTTTCTTAGCCGTGTCGAAGCTTTGCTTTTTTGGCACCGAGAATTTCGTTTACACTCCACTCGTCGCGACTGTCTTCCCGATGAGTCATCGAATGGCTCTTCACTGTGAATCATCCTTTGAACTTTCCAGACCGAATAGTCGCCCTAAAAAGTATGTAAAAGAAAGAAGAGACGCCATGATTTTGTTAGTAATTTTATAGTCGCTGTGAAAATGTCTGTTTCAGTCTTCATATCGATAAAACAGTTGTTTGTGACATTTTTTCTGACAGCCTGCTCAATACGGACACCCGGATGATACGGACACTATGGCATGACCTCTTGGTGTCCGTATTAACCGGGAGACCTCAAGTTAAACAAACAATACGCCCAAGTTTATAGGCTGCATTTCACTGACCTATAAATGGCTGAAGTTCCTCTAGCACATCATTCCGTTCCATCTCTTTTAGCAAAGATGTCAGCTCTGAAATTTTCCGGTCATTTTCCCGGAATGTTCTTAATAAGTTCATAACAGGATTATCTGTACTTTCAAGCCACGGAATGTACTGATTTGAGTATCCCATTCTGTCTGCTAATGACCTGTAGTCTCTTCCAGTAGCTGATAATGGTTGTAAGTGTTCTACCAGTTTCTGGTAACCTTCAGAGGGCAAATCTTTTATAGTTTCTCATCACCAGCTGCTGTTTCACCAACTAGCAGGGAAATTACAAAAATCAAACCCTTGTGACACATACAAGCTGTGGATGGTTTTCACAGTGACGTCAACAAATTGTAAAGTCAAAATAGCGAGGTTTTACGAATTCTTATTTACACTAGGTTGAAGATAAACAAAAAATAAATCTTTGTACAAGTTTCCAGTCCCGCAGCATTTTGAAAATACAGCAATCTGAACTTCCGAGTTTTCACCGTATGTGACACAAAAATAGGAATGCTGTCTCGTTGAAAAAGTCTCTCCTCTTGATTTTCATCAGTATAACCATTTCAAGTATTAGAAGATATGTTTATACACACGTACGCTAGTTCTCGAGTGAAAAGAAAGAGCCTTTATAGAAAAAGTGAACTCCAGATGTTTTTGTTGATTTTCGGCGGCCATATTGGTGGACCAAAACAGTACACCAACATGGCGTCTCCATACAAAGCTCTACAAAGGTGCGTAAAACGTTTCGGCAAATAACTCACAAATTGTGGGCCACAAAAACCTGAGATATTAGTCTTTTATAACATTTTATTTTCTTGGTTTCTTCTACTGGACGGTTTCCAATTTATTTTTTTGTTGCCTGACGTGAAAACGATCTATAACAGATCAACAGGTTAGTTGTTTCTCGTTACTATTAGGGACCTTAAGCAACCAGGACGAGTTTGAGGAGGACGGCGAGAGAAGACGAATGAGGTCTGCGTCGAGAACGTCGTCCACCTTTAAGCAAGCTCCTGTCTCGGCTCCTCGCCGAAGTAGGTATACTGCACTGAATGGCTTCGCTTAAAGAAATACGATACCGTATTTATTCGAATAAGCGCCCAACCTCGAATTAGCGCCCACCTCGAATAAGCGCCCATCCTAAAGGCAGAAAAAGTGAATAAGCGCCCAGCCTCGAATAAGCGCCCACCCCCTCCTCCTCCCAATCAAACTCAAATAAGCGCTCACCCCCACCCCACCCACTTGAGTGAATAAATTCTAATAAGAGACTTCCCCGAGGACGGAGTTTTCTTCAGAGTATTTCACAGAAACCTTGCTTTGTTACTTCTTCGCGTTTTGTTATTAGTCTTTTCTTCTTTTGTTGCAAAATAAACATACTTCACTTGCTGAAAATGGTGAAAATTTAATAAGCGCCCAGCCTCGAATAAGCGCCCCCTCTCAATGTCCAAAAATTTAATAAGCGCCCAGGGCGGTTAATCGAATAAATACGGTAGTTGCTTCTTTTTAGCGTTGAGAACAACACAATTAACGAGGAAGAATTTTGCCCACTCTCCGAGGAATTTAAATCAGTAAACCCTGAAAACGAAGAATAGTATTTCAGAAACCGACCTGAACTGACCTGAACGGGACCACAAAAAATAAAAATCGATTTTAAACGAAAAACCCAGAGGTGGATCTAGGGGAGGGGCCATCCCAAACAAGTTATTTTTAGATCTATGCGGACCATGAGAAAACAGTTTCTGGTAAACTGATTGACTTCCGGAAGACTCGCTTTCACGATTTCAGCTCGCCAAAGCGAGGCGGCGTCAACAAATAAAAAAATTGCGGCACAAGTGGAGGGACGATGCAACCTCGTCCCCAGGGTCTTCTCGCTTTCCAATATGGCGGCGGCAGGAGAGAAGACCCTGGCACACAGCAAAAATCACGTGACTGATTTGTCCACGGAGAGTGGAAATTTATTCAAAATGGCGGCCAAGATAAAGAGTGAGAGGATCTGGGTACGAGGTCTTGAGACTGGTGAAAAACAAACAAAATGGCGGCAAAGGCAAACTCAAAAGAAGCTGAAAAAATGAAAGAATGCACTTACAAGCCACAGGAATACGGTAGAATGATATAGCGATCTTATTTTCTGTTCAATGACCTTCATTTGTTCTAACCCTGAACGTTCTGTAGCGTACACGGCACTCGATACCGACCTTTTTTCACTGTTTCCTTTTTGTGCCCACCCTGAGTGCCAGAGGTTCAGTTTTCTTTTTTCGTGAAAGGGGGAGCTTTTTCTAACCGTGAGCACAATTTATTTCATCTTAGGAATTTCGAGAACAGACCTCAGAAGCCAGGGAATTTTTTGTCATGACGCTCTAAAACCTCTTCCGTTCCGAAATTCAATTAAGCAGTAACTTAAGTCGCGGACACTTTAAGCTGATAAGTTATCGTCAGCTTTGTTACAGATCTTCATGAGGTTTTTGACTATTGTTTTTCTGTCTGCATTCATTTTAACTGAACTCTGATATGTAAAAAAACAATTTTTTTTCTCAAAACAAGAACCAGAGAACACTATTTTGTTAAGACAATTCAAGGAAACTTTGGTTGAAAATTAAACAGTTCCTTTTCAGTTTGGATATTTTGTCACTTGATCTGGTGCAGGTAATAAAATTATTGTCAATCTTCATCTACCTCACAGTTTTTAGACTTTCTTATTGGCTTTGATATCTAACCCTGTTCACAATGCTTCCGGGCAATAGAGTTGGGGGCCTTATTTTATCTAGCAAAGACGCTGATATTAGTTTGCCACACAAAAAAAATGCCAACTGAAAAAGCCCAAGTACAAGAAGGTTGGAGGTCAAGCAGCCGATGATCAAAAACAAATCCGAACTTCCAGTTGCTGAATAAACCATCCTGGATCGGTCCACACAAAGTTTTACAGTTGTCATTGATTGATACAGTCTTTTATTTATTAGTGAAGAATAAGAAAAGGAGGGAAGGTGGGATGCGGGTTAAAAGAGAGGGGGGCTTATTGTTAAAACTTTCTTCCACTGAAAAGGAGGGCTTATTTGAGAGAGTGGGGCCTTAATAGAGGATTTAATATGTTGTTATTGTTGTTTTTTTTGCCTCTCAGATGTAAAAAAAAGCATTAACCCCGCTTTAATAGCTACCACAAAGTGAAGAGTGTTTCCATTGGTTGTAATTAAGTAATAGATTTTTATTTTTAGAGCAAAAACTTTCTTAATCCCTGACTTTGGTTTATTTTTTACATATTACTTGGGGCTGCACTTTGCCATGACAATTTACAAATTGACTAAAGGCTAGACTCCAGTTGTTCAAAAATTTGATAGTCCTATCTGACTCATGTGCACTGTAAAAGTTCCTATCTCATTTGGAGATAATAATCTTTTAAGTCAAACACGCTTTGCGTGTCAGATGGGCCCTTTCGTAGTCTAATTGAGACATAACTTGGTAGTGGTGTGCTGATTATCTATCATAATCTATCATTGATCTGAAACCTAAAGCAAAGTGAGTACTGCTTAATATACAAACGTTCAATTGATTGTTGTGGAAAATACACAAAAACATTGTTAACAAATAAGGACATTAATACACCGGTGTTGTCTTTTTGATGGACTCTTAATGTAGTTTATATGATGTTTAGTTGGTTTAACTATGTGACAGATAAGCTTCTGCTTGCGGGGTAGGTTTTTGTTTTATTCACTTACAAAAGTATTTTCAGTGTTGAAAGTGTTACACAGGGCCATCACAAAACTATTATCTACTATAATTGATTATCAGTTTAATAGTTGGGTTAATCTGATTATTTCTAATGATATGATTATGATACAGACACTATGACTAAGACTAACCAACACCTTAAAGTAGACTTTGGAAGTATTTGAGCCAGCA